TGACGCTGATGCGCAAAGCCTGCTTTGTTTGCGCATTGAGTCAACAGCCCCAGAGAGTGACTGAGCTGAATGGGGGAGAAAAAAGGCCATCGGCGTTTTTTTTTTTCCCCCTCCCCATTCACTGCAGTCACTGTGAGGTCAGCTGATGACCGCGGATACAGTGTGACACATTCACTCTCAGTCAATGCAGAGTGAAATGTCACCCCTCTGACGAGGGTGGCAACTTTCTGGAAGGTGCCCAAGTATCCCTACATTATCGAATGGACAGAAAGTTGACTCAACATCACGGTCATTGGTCAGTGTGAACCAGTGAACTTGTCAATGTAGTAACAGCAATTGAACCGTTTGGATTCTATCATTTTTATTTTGTTCAACAATTTTTATTTTCAGTCAGTTTTTATTGTTTTAGTCTATTGCAATATATTTTTTTAAACTTGTGTGTTTATTTTAATTTCAGAGATTGAAAACTTTTTTTTTTCCAACACCCTCAAAAAAATCTTCAATTTTGGATAGGGTGAGTGAGATGAGAAATACAGAAAAAAAAATATCGGAAAAAAAAATCAGTGGGTGTCAAACGGCGAATATGCAGAGGTCGACTGTAGTTTTAAGTTGTAATATTAGTAATCACCACTAGATGGCAGGTGAGTCCTGGGTCATCCCCTGGGCATGTCCCACCGGCAGGAGCGCATGTCCCTCCTGCCGGTGGGACATGCCCAGAACATCTCACCAGGCAGGCGTCCGGGAGGCATCCTAATCAGATGCCCGAGCCACTTCATCTGGCTCCTCTCGACGTGGAGGAAAAGTGGCTTGATGAAGCGTCTCACCTTGTCTCGAAGGGAGAGCCCGGACACCCTGTGCAGAAAACTATTTTGGCCGACTGATGACATTTATGAAAAAAATAAATAAAATTGATGCAACCCATGTTTCTAATCATATCCTATGAGGCTTTTGGGGGATGTTTTATTGTTTTTTTTAAAACAGTTCCTCTGTTGCATGGAATACTCTCTCATAGCCATGTGTTTTATTTCATTTTTTTTTAAATTTAAATCTCATTCGTAATGTCCCCCATAAATTAGTTTCGGACCAAGCGGCTGAACTCTGCGGCCGTGTTGTGGTGGTCGCCACGGCAACGCACTGAGTAGAACAATATGTGAGCGCAGAGAGGCTAACAAAGAACTGTAATGCTGTCTTGTCCACTCCATCCTTTCAAGTTATTACCCAGTGGAGCGCTGGAGGTGGTGGTGGTGGTGGTGGGGGGGTGGAGCAAAGCGGGTATTATTGATAATCATTTCCATGGAGGATGGCTTCCCATGCGTGTGCCAATGCAGGCACGCACACACACACACACACACACACACACACACACACACACACGCACACACACACACACACACACACACACACACAACACCACTCTTATACCACACACACACACACACACACACGAGTCATGTTGCCAACAGGTGCTGCATTTCATCAAGATGCACAAAGCTAGTGTGTGTGCTGCTGTTGCACATTTTGTATAAAAAACAGCTGCTGTGAGTACAGCTGTGCATGCACTCATGTGGTTGGTTGTGTGGGGGTCGGGGGTGGGTGGGGGGAAGCACACAATGTGGGACAGTTTGTCATCGGAATACTTTCCACTGACATTCATCACGTGGGGTGGCAAAAGTACTCACACTCTGTACTTTTGCGGAAACGCATCAAAAATCAGGAATAGCACTAGTACTAGTAGCCTTTTGTTGGTGTGTCATATTAGTATTTGTTGGGAGTAATTTAAATAGTTCTAGTGGTGGTCGTACAAGTCCAGGTGGTGGTAATAGTAGTAGTGTATTTGTAGTAGTTCTAATTATGACAGAAGTGGTCACACTTACAAAAGTAAATGGAGTAGTAATAGTGTCTGGACTATGTATCAGTCGCCATTTAAATCGTTTTAATGGTAGTGGTAGCAGCCAATAATCGTGGTGGAAATATTTAATGGTGTGTTAATGTCACGTTTTCCTTTGCGTGTCCTCTCCCACCGGTGCTATCTATCTTTTTGCCTTCCCCGTCTTCCTCCTCTTCATTCACGCTGTCTCCTCAGTGAGGACGAGTCGGGTACAGTGCCTTATTATGAGCGTTGCCGTGACAACAAAGACAACCAGACAGTCCCCCCCGCGAAACATGCACACGTCCAATGCAAACCTCTGGCACTTATGGTCATCGTACTGCCTGACTCGTGTGTGTGTGTGTGTGTGTGTGTGTGTGTGTGTGTGTGTGTGTGTGTGTGTGTGTGTGTGTGTGCGCTTATGTTGAAGACACTGAACTTAAATTTATCTCCGTTGGCATTTGCTGTAATATTTAACAGCGTTGATGAAAGACTTTGCATGCTAGTGTCTATTTGTGTGTGTGAGTGTGTGTGTGTGTGTGCCTATTTGGCATTTGCAAGCCTTGTCACCCTTGGCATAACTATCGCAACAGCCGTGCTCAGCCTGGCGTCCGTTTTTATATATTTATCTGCTTCCGCTTTCTCAGAGTGGCGCTGGTGGTCCGTCTTACATTTGAATAAAGTGTCTGTCCCGTCATGTGGAGCAGCGCGGTGCGACATAACACACGAACAGCTGTACATTCAAACATACTACCGGTACATTACAGTACATTTTGTCTTTCATCGAAGGCAGCTGAAGCTATTTATGTGAGTGTTTTTTTTTCTTTAATCATATTATGTGTGTTGTTGGAAATATTAATTGATGTAAAAAAAAGCTGTCAGAACGTACATAGCGCTGTGACGGTTCACCATGTGCTCGTTAATGCTAACATTAGCCAAAAATGTCCACTCCGTTATTGTCCACCCTGTCGGCAAGCTAACCTTATTTTGCTGTTTGCATTTCCATTGTCTGCTTGCAGTTCATTAACCAAAAGAGAAGTGTGGGACTTTGACCAAGATGAATTTCTAACAGCATGGCATCGCCTCAAATAGAACAAGATGACGTTTGTAAAATCTCAATGTTTTTGGGTGACACGGGGACATTCCAAATGCATCTTATAAGTGATATTCACTCCCCTCTCTAAAAATGCCGCAAACTCTGATCTCAAAACGGTCTCATCTTACAACATCACACTTCAATACAAAAGCTGATTTGATTATTGGAAGGAAAGCAACAGAAGCGCGCATGTGGCAAAGACGCACTCAAACTTCCACTAACGACCCAGGCTAAACTGATAGCTCCTCCCCGATAGCTTGTCTTTTCAGTCGAGATGTACCACTTCAATATACTTCATTGTCACCAATTACTGTATTTTTTTTTCCCATTTAGTCACGGTTTTGTGAGCATCTTGTATCTCTTATCATGACTCTCATGATTATGAGCGACTCCTTTCTAGCTTGGAACAAAAGGCATTCTAGTGGTGTTCCGGTGTGACAGTTGTTACAGCGGATTGGATTAGTAACGTCTGGGCTTGCAAGGACACGCAGTGGAACGAAGTGGGCCTGTCACCAATTTGCGTGTACGTGTGGTTGAAAAAGACGGGTCAGTTGCTAGGCTGAGTTCATTCATGTGCTTCTTCCCTAACGTGTTTTCGTACTTGTGCGTGCATCTGCCGCGGCCACATGCGTTCTCGCCGAGTTAAGAGTGGGTGTGCAAAGCTGAGCGTGTACGTCTGTATGTGAGGAATTGCACTGGTGGGATGAGGGTGTGTCCCAGAGTGGGATTCTCCACATGTCGCTATTTTAACAACACAGGAGATCGCTTTACAGTGCAACACGGTTGCCCGTGGCAACAAGGATTATTGGTAGGTACAGTGCTGACCCCTGCTGGAGAAAAATGGCATATATGGTGGGGATCATGTCGCCAAGTATGCCGCGGTGTGTTTAATGTCAAAGACAAGTTCTAAAGAATTTCTTGCATTAGTTCAACGGAAGATTATTTCGTTTTGGCCACTCGGAACTGCTCTGTGAATTTAGGCACTTTACCTGCGCCAAAGAATTTACATCTGGCTCACTTCAAGTGTTGATAGTCCAGCCATATGTGCAGCTTTCTTTGCAGCCAGGAATATCATCGTCTATTAGCTATTTTTTTTCTTTTCATATTTTGCATGGTCCAGTGGCAGAAAAATGGGATGCAAGTTTGCTCCATGATTGCAGGTTTTGCTTTGCTGAAGTCAAAACTTTTTTCGGGGGGGGGGGTCATAAATCTGCATGCTGGTGTGTGCGCTAAGAACCATTCTGTGTTTACGATGAGTAAATATGTTTAAATCAACCCAAACTACACGCCGTGGTTCCAATATAAGCACGATGTTGGCCGTGAGGCTGACAACCATCCAAGATGTTAATTCCAATCGTGAGACAGAGCATCCAAAACGCAATTATTTTTAAAGAATAGAGCATTGGCTTCAAATCTCCAGCCTCAGAACTGTGAGGCGGATTTGCGAAACGCTAATCCACCAAATGTGTCAGACGATCAACCGGAACATTTACAAAGAGATTTTTTTTTCGGCGCGTGATAAAAGTTGGGAGGTTTGGCAGGACAACTTAAGGTGACTGCATGTCATGAGCATCTGACAGTTCCTGGACGAGAACATTGCTGGAGCGATCTTCCTACCTACCCTGACCTGGCTCTGCGTGATTTTGTTTCAGCTTTTCCAAAGTCAAAAGGACCATCAAGGGGTGAGGGGAGGGGGGGGGCAATTTTGAAGACATGGACAACATCAAGAGGAGCTGCGAAGGATCCTGCAAAAAAAAATCTTTGCGCATGAAGATGTAGCCAGTCCTGGAACTTTTGTGACACACTTCGCGTATGTTTGTCTTTGCTTTGCTGGACACGGATGCCATTGACAAAAAAACCTCAGTCTCAACATCAGCTCCATCAGCTGACAAGAGTAGCTTTCAGTCATGTGACTGAGGCCACAGGAAGCGGGCCCGTGAATAAACCGTGGAAGTGGGAGGGAAAGCGTGGATGGACGTGAGGAGGGGGGGGAGGGAAGGCAAGAGGGCGAGAGAGAGAGAGGGGAAGCAGAAGGGAGGAAAAGAGGAGGCGAAAAGGAGTTGTGAAAAAAGTACGCAGAGTTAGAGAAGAGCGTCTTTAGCTCGGTTCTGCTGTTTTTCTTTTCTTGCCCTCCCTCCTCCTGTTCTCCCTTGTGCCGGATTCCAAATTTGGGATTTGTTTAAAATCTGGATCGCTCCTCTGGGCGACGTTTCCTTGCTGGGTGAAAGGGAACCCTCGCATGATAAACACACTCGTCCTCCCCCCCACCCCCTAAAAAAAAAAATGTCTGATTCCACAGTCAACGCTCACTTGGAGGGGATCATATCAGACTTTGAAGGTTAGTTGCGTTCTTCCTTTTCTCTCTGCTGCCTTTCTCGCTCTTGTCAGTGACTATGCAACCCCTGCCATGAGGACGGCAGCCTTCGATGTTTTCCACATGTTTGATTGGGACTGGACGGCACGTTTGGAAAAACTGAGAGGGCTTTCTTGACATCTGTGGTTGCGGTCGAAGGGAAAATGCATGCTAAAAGTGTTCTGCACTGTGTTTGTTAATGCTGTTGTGAGCTCGTAGCTGCGAAGCCCCAAAAAAGGGTGCAATCAGCCTTTCTCCTCAGGAACCTGACTCACGATATGGGTGTGCTGCTGACCATAAAAAGCCTGGTACTTTCTTTTAAAAGTATATTATTATACGTACAATGACTTATCACTGGGGTGGTACCCTCAAAAATACTGTTTGACTACCATTTATACGTGATCACCAATGTCACATAAATGTCTTTTGGACCTCGGGGAAGGTTACAAACGGTTGCATTTTTTTCATAGCATAATAGTAGATCCCGTATATTCTGCCGATCGATTGCCGAACAGTCCAGGGTGTAACCTGCTAAAAGGGATGGTGGATTAGATTAGCACCGATGGCTTTTGGACAACAATGTAGATCAGTGCTTCTCAAACCAGGGTCGCCGGACCCGCAGGTGTCTGTGAGCCAAAATTGGGGGCGGGGGGAATCAACAAAATAATGGACAATAAATTATTTTTGAATTATTTACACTTATATACGGGGACGGGGACGGGCACGGGCACGGAAATAAAATAAAGACATGGAACCAATTAGTCCTCCCGACCTCAGCTTTGGGTTCAGTTAACTCATTTGTTGCCAGCCGTTTTTAAAGCAGGGTTGCCCATTTTGCTCGAGCGCTGAGCTGGCACCTGTTATTTTGGTGATCGGGATAAGATCGGGAGCACAGAAATGTTAGATGGATCATCATGTGGATTGTACATATGCTACCCCCGTCCGTCTCTGACACAAGAGTGCATGGCATCCATGATTGTAATTTTTGGAGGAGTTGCTTTGTTGTCCCACTAGCAAATAGCTGCTAATAAAGTTATAGACCGCAATTGGACTGTGACTGTCCTTCCATTTATCTTCAGTGCATGTTCTCATTAGTCCACCTGACTGTGGGTGAGAGGAGGGCGATACACACCCGGAACTGGTCGTCAACCGGTAAACGATTATCAGACTGTAGATGATCGGACCATGTTTTGCTTATCTGAGATATCAGTGTGTTTTGTGCAGCCATGTTTTTTGTTTACATTTGTTTTTGAGGTCACATCTTGAAAGTTTGGAAGCTGTCCCGGCTGCTCGGAATGCTGTATTTGTACAGGTGGCGTCCGCGGTTGTAGTGTTTTGTTGATTTGATGCCATAACTCAAGACACTGAGCGCAATGGGAGCTCAAAATTCACACCCATGTTTGAAATGATGTAAGACTCAAGCAGCTAAAAAAATAATACCTAGTAACATTCAGCTTAAAATGTTTTATGTAGTGAAACATCTTTTCAGTCGTATTTTTTCTTCTACATTTCATAACAAACATGAAATAAAAAGCGTGCTTGTTTTTTTTTTGTACAGGTAACATTGAAATTTTCTTGAACTTGTACATCCCACCCAGCTGACTTGTGCCTTATCTAAAACTAAGAGTCTCAAACGTGGGTTTGAAATAGGACAGTGATTTGAAATTGGACTAGCAAATTGTGGATGTAAAATTTTTGTACAATTTTTTTTACATTGTAAGGCAGCTGGCTAAGGTAAAGCCTCTTTTGTTCTCAGTAGCATTTCAAAAAAAATCATCCATACCTCCTTTACATCTCGGCTAGATTACTATAATGTACTTTATTGTGGAATCAGCCAGTCCTCCCTCAAGTTTTTCCAGTTGCTCCAAAATGTTGCGCTCACCTCCTAGCTTAAAATGCATTTTTTTCAATGGCTTCTGACTCAGTAGAGGTTAAATGGCCCCCGGTCCAAGCTCTGGAAATCCCTGGTGTAGGGGGAACCCCTGGCCCCCAGCCCCTCCCCTGTCAGGGCTCCTCTTCGTTTTCATCCCCCCCCCCCCCCACCCACACATTCCCGCTCCTCTTCATCCTCTGTCTGTTCCACCGCTCGTCCTCTCTCAGCAGCTTGTCCATCCTCAGGCCTTTCCCCCTCCTGTGACTCTTACTGTCGGGGGATGCAAGAACTTGACTTGTACTCTACCACCACTGACGCCTTCAGTGGCACACCCCAGCCATTGGGAGACGCATCCGCACTTGTCCGGGGCGGCTTCTCTGTCAACGCCAGTTTGTTCGCGGTATGCACTCTCAATCTCCCGCTGGCTCGTTAGGCATTTAAATGAACAAAGATGGCCGGGGGGGGTGTGGGGGGGGGGGGGGGGGGGAGAGAGACATGTCGGCCATGTGGTTTACAATCATGCTTTTAGTCTCGTGTGTGACACATAATGGGCCACTGTTCTTGTCAGTGAAGTGTGTACTTCCCCTGGATGGTCTTTTGCGTGCCGATGCATTAATTTCACCAGTGTGAGAACACTGCAGCGCTTGCAGCACAACTCTGCGGTAGTGAAAGCTTTAAGTCAGATGCCTCCCAGGTCGTACAATTCAGACTTCAGAAAGCTCCGTGATCATTTGGCTACCTTTGAACGTTTTCAACTCTTGAGGAGAATCGCGGGCCAAGCTATCCTGCGTCTCACACGAAAAAAAAATCTTGACGCCGAGCTGCTGAGCCTTCCGTTTAGCTGATGCGGTTAATATCATTTTGTTCCACAAAGAGCTCAAAGGGGACACGTTCTTTTGAAAAACAGGATCTTTCCGCGGAGCGTAAACACGTCTCGATAACCCAGCAAGCAGACATCTGGCTTCTATTGATTTCTTTTGTCGCTGCAGCTGCCACTTATCTCTTTTCTCTCAGTTGACCTCTTTCCTCCTTGCTTATGGGAGACTCGCTGGCTCAGGGAGAGGAAATTCCACTGGAGCTGGATTGCTTGTGGGTGACGAGGCTAGAACACAAATGTTCAATGTCAGAGGAGATCCGATACAGAATGTGGATTACAGGGAACTGCTGAAAATACCGTTTTGATTGACATGGTCAGAGAGTTTGGGGCACCAGTTTACAGTCAGGGTCCCCTTAACAGTGGTGGGCTGTGTATTTGGTGCCTGAGCCTTCAGTGGGGACATACATGACTTCATACCACCACTATCACTTTGCAGTTGTCGAAACCATCGTTTCTATACAAAAAAAATGCAATATAAGTCCATTGAAATGTGCCATATACCTGTATACCATCTGGAGAAGTTCAGGATCAATATTTTTCTAAAAATAATAAAATAAAATACATCATGCTAAGCGATGTTGACTATTAAATGGATTATTGTGCGCAGATGGCTCCAAAATGTGTTTTGCTAGTGCAACTAGGCTTGCTTTGACCATCTAATCAGAGGATGGAAAAATGCCGACTTTATTGTGAGCTAGCTAGCTGGCCCTGCGAGGCAGATTTGCTTTCACTCCGCTCCTTGCCTCGTTTCCACAACCTTGCCATTTTGACTTATCAGTCGCCGATACTCCAAAAAAATAAATCTATCTTTTTACTATGTCCAAGCCTGGTTCCGACAGAGATGTGCTGGCTCACTATTTGACAAGTTTGAACTTGGCAAGTGGGACAAAATGGAGGTCTAGATCTTTAATTCGCAAGTGTCAGATCTCTTGCTTTCATTACTATCTGATGTCTTCCCCTGGATGGACTCTTGCGTGCTGATGCATGAACGAACTGAACACAAGTTAAGTCCCTGCGCACGCATGATGCAAAGCAGTGTTTAACCTTGCACTCCAGCTGTGTTTAAACAGCCGCACACACCTACAGCTGACAACTGTCTCCGGTGCGTCTATACAAGGCGTCCCGCATGTTAGGTTTCAGTCATCACACAGCAAAACTCACCACAGTTAGCACAACAGCAGGCAAACATGTTATTATGTCAAAGTCGTGGTCAAACAGTCTGTGGAATAGGCTCGCACTCTTTTTGTTGTTGTTGTTTACAATGGACAATACATGCAATGAACTGTCGCTATAACACGGTTCACCTTTGGCAATTTAGCTGTTTCATAGATTTTTTTATTTTTTTTTGTGCAGTTTTTTTTTTGACAGTGAATTGTGTCCTGCATCCTGATTGGCTATGGGACTGTTGCCTTCAGATATGAGTTTCATTTGTTTCTTGACTACTACGCTAACTGTCACAACAACAACACTGAGATGATTGGAAGTGGAATTTAACCGTTCCGCCCTCCCCCCAAAAACAACAACAAAGCTTCTCGTAAGAGCACAACTATTAGTATAAAATAGCATCAAACAAGTCTTGAGTTAGTCAGTTGATGCTTTGACGTTTGACCTTTTTTTTTTTGTTTCTTAAAATAATTAGCATTGCAGCCCTTGTTTTAAATCGGAGCATAACGGACTCGGCATCAGCTAACAAATATGTAGCAAAGCCAGTTTGAGCCATCAAAATGACATGACATCATGTGATGAACAAAGACCTTGTTGTGAGGGACGAAATAAGATGAGACACAGCACTCACAAGAACATTTTTTTTTCTGGTGTTATATCTACAAAAGCCACTTGAGGACTGATAGTTAGCATATTACCTCAAGCTCTGACATGCATGTCGACTGATACAGTGTGGGAATGACGTTTTGGATCAGGAAAAAAATGCAGTGAGTGAACAATTGTGGCTTTATTTCTGGAAAAATAGGCCTCAGTCTTGCAGTATGTCAGACTTCATTACAGTAAACACCTCAAGTAATAATTGCACAGGAGTGAATTGCTTTTTGTTTGGCTTTCTGATGGTGCCGGCCTCAAAAACTCTTTTTGTCTCTTTATTGTCTAAACCTCCAGACTCTTCTTTCTTGGGGTGACTTAATGCCACATGGCTCCCACAGACTGAGAGAAGAGCCGGAGTTTTACGACACTTCTCAGACAGTTTCGAAACATGTACTTAAGTTTAATTGGTTAATAACATGTCAATATCAATTTGTGAAAAAATATTATATCGATCATATCGACACGTGACAATATGTATTCCCACACAAAATTACAACAATGTGGAAGTCAGCAATCACAAAATGTTATGTGAGGTTTCACTATAAATCTGCTTTGGCATCAACTAGACATATTTGGTTGATGGTCAACTTCGTCATGAAGGAAAAACTGATTGATGGTTCAAGTGAACGTACTGATCCACTATAATGAGAAGTTTGACCAAGAATCTTTGGGCACAGAAAATGCTGCTGATTCACACGTAGCGTTATTTCACATTGCACCGAGTGAATACTGTGAACCAGCTGCTTCTCTTCTGACTCACTTGCTTACTACCATCAGCCACAGAAGCGCTGTGAAAACAGCAACGCTTCCAGGAAGAACATCATCTCCCATGCTAGTGCCTAGCCTATAAGAGGGACTGATGCCTGCGTAGGCTGGGTATTTATTTAGGACAGAGAATAATTGCTGCGGGGCCTGCAGCGGCTGTGGTTTGGGGCCTTAGCGGAGACGAGCCAGATGTCACCTTCACATCTGTCTTGAAACAAACGGTGGCTAGAGAATGCGTTCTTTAAATAACTAAGTGGGATTGTTGTTGTGCTGAACAGAAAATAGTGACACTGTCAGAGGATTTATTTGGCTTCAGCAGTTTTAAGTGGTGTAGAAATGCACCATTTGAGCATTTATGAGGCACTGCCGAAATGACGGTGCACGAGTAGAACCACTGCAGCAAAACTGCAATAGTTGTCTGTTGCTAGTATCATTATTAACATTGTAAAATCTACTTAAAAACATAGTCGCTCATTAGTGGGAGGCCTATCTATAACTATGATGTTGTTATACGAGTTCGTTTGTTAATACGCAGCAATATCATAGAGTAGTAGCACAAACTGTCGCAAGTTTGACTGGTCAAAGTGCGCTTGGTGAGCTAAAACTTTAATTGGATTGGGCCACCAAAAAGTATGCTTTATTTATTTTATTTTTAATATATTAATGTATCAACGCCCAATACAAATATGTGAGCAAACATAGAGGTTTCACGAACAGACAAGTTTTTTGAAAGATAACGTTTTTTTCATACGAACAATTTCAATCACTTGGCGTGCGAGGCGACGTTTGCGCATGCGCACACAGTTGAACAGGTGTTCTTGATGTGTGCCCACCGAGGCCGAAGATGTGGACGTAAATTCTCCCTGTAACATTTCGTGTCTTGAAGTTATTTTCTGAGTACGAGGTCCAAACGGCAGGCGGACGTCTGTATTTGTTCGCTCGTTCTTGTTTTGACGACGGCGAACGTTGTTTTTTTCAGCGAGTGCTTTTCTTAGATTTTTACCAAGCGCTATGCTGTCGAGCTATATGAAGCGCGTCAAGACAGGTGAGGTTCGCGTGTGTTAGCTCATGCAAAAATAAACGTTGGTTGAAATAGAGGCTGACCATTGTAGGTTAAAAAAAAAAAGCGTTGCTATGTGGAGGTGATTGGAGTGTAAATGCACATTTTTCACGCACACTTGTGTTCACAGCATTTTGTTCCTCTCGTCTGCAGTTGTGATGGTTTGTAGCTTCAGCTCTTCCGGGTAAATGAAATAAAGGAATGCGCGTTTAAAAAAAAAAAAATGACACCACACATTGAAGGATTATCACTTGTCTGTGTTGGACGGCCAAAATACAAGCATTTCCGGCCGTGCCTCACTTGACGTTTTTAGTTCATGTTTGGTTTGCTTTGTTTAGCTTTTTTGCATACTTATGGTAGGATGGGTTCAGGCTGAATAGAGCCAATGTTAGTCTTCTGTTTCGTGCCTAACCAGAAATATTTTGTTTTCCAGCTCTGAAAAGGTCATTTGAAGTGGAGGACACTGATTCGTCCACACACCCTTCACCTCTGTCCCGTCGGACCACCAACCCCCTCCGCTCGTCGCTCTCTTCCACCTCCAGCCAGAGGAGTTATGACCTGAGCTCCCGCAACTCTGACTACTACTCCGCCAAATCGTCTCCCTCCGATTCTTCCAATCCACGATCCCCCAAAACGGGCATGAGGCGCATTGAGTTATCGGGGGGTCGTAACCCCGACTCGGCTTCCTCTCGCCGCACGGAAATCTCCATTGAGGTTTCCTCCAAGCAGATTGATAACTCTCCCAGTGCCGGCATCACTCGTTTTGGCCTTAAGCGACCCGAGGTGAGCCTGGGTAGTCGGAGCACACCACCTGACGGCTCCCCTAATCCCAACTCCAGTTCTGCAAGCAGGCGGCCTATCGAGCCACCCGCACCTCCCAGGAGGATCGACGCCCAGCTCTCATCCGCGCCCGTCTCTCGAATCCCCGAGCCGCCTCAGAGAAGAGCGGAGCACCCGTCATCTACCTTCAGCTCGGTCGAGGTGGCTCGCAGGCCGGAGATTCCGAGCTTCAGACAACCGGATGCTTTGGTGCCAGCCGCCGCAATGGAGAACAACAACCACCACCTGCCACCTCCTACGCCCAGTGCACCTCCGCCCTGCCTGGCTGACAGCAGGGTGGACTGGGTGCCGCCCGCTGTCACAGAGACCCCCGCGACTCGACCAACAGACCGTGAGTAACCGAAAAGCACTTCTATTCACACAGCACAGGATAATTGCAATCCTATTTCAATTGGGCATTGACTGCACTGATTGCAAGGGAGGGAAAATGCTTAAGGTACGGACGAGCTCAAATGCAAAAACGAGTTCGACTGTCCAGATCAAAGTCCTCTGAACGCAAAAAATTGGTCACATGGACATTTTACCACTGTCATTTTGTATAGGAGGATTTTTGCGGTTTAGAATGCAGAAGTAAAAAAGAAAGGGGTGTCTCTAAACTCAAATGTAGGCCATAGGGGTGATGATGACATTCGCAGATCTTGTTCCTCAACAACAAGGAATTAAGGAAGTAAATAGTCAAGCAGAGGATACAGTGTTGTGTTGGAAACTAGTTAATTCGCTTTTTTTTTTGGTCTCGAAGAGGGATTCTCACTGTGTTGTACTAAGACCACTAGTGGGATGTGGGCTCCCTCTTGTGGTCTATAGCAGAATTTCTCAATCAAACGTTCAAACTATGCATGTTCAAGTGGCTTTAATATTATTTTTCTAATCCAGCACAGTGCATTTTAGTACACTTCAGTTGTATTTAACTTAAGTATACGATACATTTTGTATTTGATTTTTCAGAAGTGTTGTTCAAAAATGTTACAATTTTGGACTTATGTGCAATAAATGAACCATTTGTATTGACTTATTAAAGCAATGCTAATGTTGAAGTTGTGCATAATGTCGCAGCTTCTTCCGGTGATCTCACATTGAAATGTAGTTTTTGATGAATACTTGGGCCTAATACAATGCTCCTCTATGTGAATTCATATTCCATATGGGAGTACTTGGAGAACTGAGCCTTTTTTGAGGTGGTACCTGAAAGTTTGAGTCGCCACTGGCCTACAATCGACATTGTTTGTACTGGAGTTAAAAATAGCCAGGATGGTGATCGTTTCCACCTGTCCTTTAGCACCACCATCTGGACAAAATGTGCATGTTCAAGATGGTATCTCAGGCCGCCAGCCGCACTCCTAATTCCTATTTATTCATCAGCTGGGTTGTCGTGAATTGCATTCTTATGAAAAAAGTATGCATTGATGGCTTTAAAAAAAAAAAACATACCCCCATTACTTTATTAGTCGATGTTGTAGTCATTAAGTATTTGGGGTTGGCATTTGACTCCTATTTTGTTGTCTCAATTCAGTTTCTTGATTTGAATGACTCATTTTTGCGCGGCTATCTGGAGACAGCTGTAGCTCGCTTGTTGTGTTGCAAGCAGGCGCAAGCGGCCAGGAGGTGATACATTCCAAATCTGGAAGCCATAAAAACGCCTCCGGTTTTCACTCTTCGGCGGTGTTTCTGACCGTCTATTCAGCAAAAAGATAAAATGACAAGACGTGGCCAGGCCAGTCAGTCAGTGGACCCGCTAAATCGGCGGAACGGGTTTGAGTGGGTGAAATCGAAGTGGGAAAATAAAAAGATACTGTGGAGTTGGACAATAAGGTGGTGTGAAAATGTGTCATTTCCTTTGTGCCAGTAGACAACCTAACATTTTTGTTCTAACTTTTTTAAAATGTATTTAGGCTTTCTTTGGCGATTGTCGTGAACAGCCATTACTTGCCAGAAATTCCTGCAGCTCCTTCAGTGTTGCTCTCAAGTCTCTTGGCACAATCCCTAACCATTGCCTTCTGGTCTTTTCAGCAATTTCGGAGGGACATCCTGTTCTTGGTCATGTCACTGTTTGTTCTGTTCGTCATTTGATGACTGCCTTCACATATGTGGCATATTTGCTCCTCTGGGAATTCTTTTGTATCCCCTTCTTAGGCCTGGTACCTTTTGAACAGTGAGATCCCTTCTGATGCTGCGGAGGGTCCCGGTGGCCCGTGCGTGCCTTGAAATGTGGTTCAAGTATCAGGAAAATCCTGTTACATCAGCTAAACAGGCACGATAAAAGTCTCATTTAACGGGAGTTTGAATGTGATTGTTTAATTCTGAACCCGACCCGACCCACGCACGCATCCACCCACACATAGCGGAACACACGCTTGTGCAACCGCATGATTTCATCGTGTTATTTCTACTTCCCCTCTCAAAGATGTCCTTTTTCCTCCAATTATGTTCTACGGGTTGTAGGTCACAGGGTGGAAATTTTTGAAATGATTTATCATGGTCTAATTTTTTTTTTTTTTTTTTTAATACGGGGAGGCCTTTGGACTCACTGTTGACACTTGCACAGTAACCTTCGGTTCTATTTATACACCGGGAATAACTGATAATGCTTTTCACTTGCATAGCAAGACAAGTGGGCAGAAAACTTTGCACCTTACGTCAATAGATGCATCGATAAATAAACCATGGGCAACGGAACCGGTGAGGGCTGCTTTTCAAGAGCGGCTCTTGAAATAATAGACCATCACGCGTTACTACACCGGCGTGACAAAATGTCCTATCATTTTGTGGTGCAAAATACCTTTCCATACCAACCCCCAAAATCCTTCATTCTAGGATGGCTCTACATGTACCGGTACTTGATGAGCGACTTTTATGGTCTGATTGGACTTTTCTCTGCTCTAAGGTAGATAAGTGTCACACCCCTTTCAAAAAAAAAAAAAAGTGATTGGACTTTTCTCTGCTCTAAGGTAGACAAGTGTCACACCCCTTTCAAAAAAAAAAATGTGACCAGCTGTAGGCACTGATACACCTCCAGCGTTTTTACCCTTCGTCATTCTCTCCGTCTGATGCAGACAAGAGTTAAGAAAGTAGCTCAAAATGCAACTGCATTTTTTTGGGGCCAATTCCTCTCCCACACCCCCTCGTGTTCATACTATGAGGCAGCGGGATTGTATTGTCTCGTTTGAGCTGTGACAGCTGCTCTTCCCGCATGGTTTTGTTTCTCTAGATTTGTTTCAGCAAGCCGACGGTCGACCGACAGCCATAACACTCGCTGGAAGTGGATTAGCGCAATTGTTTTTCTTGTTTGTGGGGCCGCAACGGATGAATGGCGTCCCCCGCTCATTTTAATGTGGAAACTTAATTAGAGAAACGTGTTGTTTTGTGTTAAGTGCGTGCTCGTGGAATGAGTAATTCAAGGCAAACGCGTTTAAATTTGATTCAGATTTTTAATAGACTGGGATGATTTCAGTTCACATTGAGTGGTGTGGGCTCCGTTCTCCTTGTGTTAAATGAATTCAAACTCGCACTCAAGATCAATTTGAAAATGTTTGTTCTTTTCACTTTACAAAGACATCTATACAAATGCATAAAATGACCGTGGGGCACTCGCGAGAAAAGAACTGTCAGAAAGAGTGACGGATCTGCTTCATGGAGTGACACGCCAAAGCTATTCGAGGGGGGGTACAGTAAAACAAAATTGTCTCCACGATATTTTTCTCTCCGTCTTCAGCTGTCGGCGCGAGGGTCCCCGAGCAAAGTAATCAATTCAGTTTAGTACAGTAGATTGTGTTGACAGCAATTTCCCAAGCTACTTATTGATACAGATCAATCAACATCCGGGTACTTACATTCAAGTGCTAAGATCGTATTGTGACAGTGCAATTTTGCTCGAGCAGAGAAACATATTTTGGAATCGATGTTCAGCTCCAGCTTGATGTCTGAGCCATCACAATGTCATTCCTGAGAATGAATCGCGCTTGGACTCCTGGGGCAATCGCCATACCTGAGTGGTACTCGTAAACGTCATGGTCGTGGTCATGAGGAGAGGACGCTGGTTTGAATTTGGTGGCCCACTGCCACCGCCACCATTCATATTCTTTAGTGGATTTGTTTGAATTGGCGTAGAACCCCACCCAGGACCTTTTGAACTCCGTTTTCCAATTTTCGAACGCCCTGTTGACAAACAAGCGAGCGCAAGCCTTGCCGTCCTTCACGAATAGTTGTAGGCTCGCATCGTAGCCGTGTATCCGAACTTTTTCCGGATTTCGAATCTCCTCTCCTCTGCATATCTCCTCAGCCGGTACCGTCCAGAAACAGAACTTTTTCTTTGTCTTATGGAGCCGCGCCTGGAGGCCAACATTCAGGGGTACGGAGGTGTTGACCTGGCCCAAATCGCTCGCGATCACATGGGAATACATCGCTTCCTGGGCGTTATTGTCCTTATACAGCACCACCATCACGCGTTCCTTGAGGCGTTGTTTGGGAACACCCCGCCAAAGAATCCCAGCTTTTCCCTTGGATTCCGTCGTCACTTCAAGTTGAGTACCGCCTCCACCGTATGATTCTCGCCAGCTTTTTAGAACGTCGTGGTGGTTTTCTCTGTTTTCCGGAATATCGACGACGCAATGAGGCTGCGCGTTTCTTTTCGCCGCGGGCCGCGGTTTGTTGTGCCGTTGGTATTTTTCCTCCAGGACCATGTACAACAGCAATCCGAGGCAAGCGAGTTCACGCCATGTGATTTTGAGCGACCTCAACTGCGAATCGTCGATGTTGCTTCCAAAGTCTTCTCGGAGCTCCGTCAACGAGTTGCTTTGGTTGTCTTCCACCGAAAACTCTCTGATTTGCCTCAAGAGGTTGATTGTGATCTGGTATGTGTGGGCGGGATCATAACGCGTCCCCTCATTGGAATTTTCATAATGCTGTGTGATATAGACTTCATCGACTGTCTCGCCGTTTTGCCAGCGTGTGTCGTGCTCCCGCACTCGGAATATGATCCGGTCTCTGTTTCTTCCTTGATACGCCGCATTTGGTGGGTTGAGGACGTAATCGGGAAGATCCGATTGGCCTTGGTTGAGATTACCGACGGTGTAGTAGCGGTATCGGATATTTCCCCGAGGCAGCGGGTTCAACATCCTCTCGTAGTTTCCGTAGTGGTGCGAACCGTACGTTCCGAGGTTTGGGTCAAAAGGCAGCCGTATGACATCGTTGTTGTCAATGTCAATGATGTTGGCAAACCAGTGGAGCAGCACCAGGCTGTGTTTGGGCACCGCTTGGCCAAAGTTGACCTTCTTCAAATCATTGATGGTGTTGAGCCTCTGAACGGCACAGACGGAGGCGATGGAAAGTAGCAGA